ATAAGTTTCTGTTTCTCGTGAGAAATGGACCTTGGTGTCTAACAGAATCAAAAATGTAACTCTATGGGCCCTTTGTCTAATAGCGTGCGACTCTTTCTCGGCCTTGGTAAAGCATCTCAACACTAGCTATAAATATCAATAGGTCTATCAATAGGTAGGCAGCTATCGGCCACACTTTATTTGACAATCTTTGCATAAGACTGACATGACATAACATCTGCCATGAGTCTTTATGAATGTTTACAACTGTCGTCATGAAGTGTCATTCGGTAAATGACACTTTTAATGCAAAGTTGCATTAAAAGTGTTGCATTATTTTGACAATAATGTCACTTTAATGCAAGGTTGGCACAGTTCATTGACTTTCACTGCAACTTCTAGACCAACTTTGCATTAAAAGTGTTATGATGATGGAGGTGTGGAGAACGAAGGCCTCCATATGTGGGTTGTTCTTTACCGCTGTGCCACCACAATACCCCACTGTGATTTATCTTTGACTAAAGTTATGTCCTCATATTATGCATTAAATTATCATAACTTACAAAATCATGCAAAGTTGGCACATTTAATGCAACTTTTAGAGCAACTTTGCATTAAAAGTGTCATTTACTGAATGACACTAAATGACAACTGTCAGTCATGTTTATGACAGTGTCATGTCAGTTTTAGGGTGCGTTCACACCCCTTCAAATAAAGTGTTTCCTACTTAATGAAACATTACCATGTTTGATGTTTGTGGTGAATGACATACAGACGAACAAGATAATCAGTCCAAGTTCGTCGTTTATTGAAAGTTCAGGAACTACAGCGGCTGTGATGCACCACAGCAAAGGTAAACAAAGATAAAATAACCTGAACAACTCAAAACCACTCGCACCTTTTTATTCTCTCTCTCTGTCATTTAACCTGTTATTCACTAGAGGACCCAAATTTGGGTCCTCNTATCCACAAACGCTCCTGCCAACCGGGACCACAGACAAACTTTACAGGGAAGACGGACACAGAGCCACACGCTGGGCAGCATGTTGAGATGTAAACTCCGCATATAATTGCTCGTTCGCAAAGATAAATCATTCTCACTGCTCCACAACGCGCCTCTGAATTCGCTACAACTTATTCCTGCGGTTCACATGGAGCTGCGCAACCAGAGCTAACGTGGCGGGTTTTAAACTCTTACCCAGAGTTTCTCCAAAGGACTATAATTCCTCACAGTAAGTTGATGTAAATATCCATACAGGTCACTCAGCCTGTGTCCAGTTTGAGTGAAAGGAGGTGCACGCAATCCCGCTGAGGTAAAGCAGCGGCAGCGCGAGGCAAAGCGCAGAGGCGCCAGCGGTGTGATCGGTCCGCGCTGTCGACTTTTAAATGCATAAACTATAAACCTATCTATTATAAACCTATCCCTTAGGAATTAATCTGCTCTGCTAGTGAAATGCTAAGAGCAAAAGAGACGCTTGCAGCCCGGCTTAAAAAAAAAAAAAAGATCTGTCCCCCCCCAGGAACGCTTAGCCTGGCGCGGGGCTAGTAAAGCATGGCGAGACGCCAGGTTATAGATATACATATATATAGTTCCGCCCCTGGATTGAAACATCTCTTTTACTAGAAAGTGTGAATAACTTCAGAGCTTTTCCTGGTTACCATAGCAATTGAACCTGTTACACTTCTACCTAACTGATGATGTCACTAGGATCCCAGGCTTTGTGTCATAGATTCTATGACATCAGCTCTGAACCCTTTGAATGTCTTGTTACTTGTGTTCTAAAGCCAGATGAGGACAACCCAACAAATTTATAGAGAATTTTAAATTTGAAACCGAAACATAAGATGGATTCTCGTCGTATACCCAGCAGAGTTATCGCGTCGTTAAAAGAGATGAGATTACAACCAAATGAAAAACTCAACATGCCTTTCAAAATTAAAGATGAGGATTGTAATTTAAGCAGCTTTATTTCAAAGGTGTCTGAAATTACAAAACATTTCAAACCTGACAGCACGACCAATACTGATTATAAAGTTGACTACAGTAAAATGTTCGCGGCAGACGGAACTGATCTTCAGACATGCATTGACCGGGATAATGAATTTCGAGAATTACAGGGGTTGATAGAAAGACACGAAGCTGGACTTCGCAAGTTACAGGAGAAGAAACCGAAACCTAGACCACAAAATGTTTACGCACGAGATGTGGAGAATTGGAAAGCCAAGCAGAAGAAACCTATATCAAAAACCTTGTTACAAATTGACAGACATGGAGTAAGACCTCTCTACTTGTCCAATGAGGATTCTGGAAAAGACAAAAATGACTTACCGATTATAAAGTCTTTGTCACGTAAAAAAGAACAGAAACCCAAAAAACAGGTTACTGAAAATGCAGAGAAACAAGTCGCAAGTCACAAGTCGCAAAGGCAAAAACACAAGAAAGTTAGTGAAGGCATTCGGTCACAATATGTACATGACGAGAGGGAGAAAAATGTTCCTGAAATGGTTAAATTTCAAGAGAAATGTAAGAAGATGGCCTATGATAATCTGCAGGATATAAGGAGACAAGAATATGTCAAAGACGCTTTAGAAGAGAAAAAGTTTTATAAAGAAATGACCAAGCAGGAGTTTGCCCAAAAGTTACTTGACAAACAGGAGAGAGAAAAGAAAGTTGAAATTAAAAAGTCTTTGACTGATGCATGGGATGGTCAAGTTGAATATAAACGGCAGAAGAAGATGGAAATGGACAAGATTAAAAAGCAAGGGTCTTATTCATTGATGGAATCAGAACGGTTGCATCGAACGGAGGAAGTTGAGAAGAAACAGAAGAAGCAAAAACTCAGCACACAGGACAAAACTGAGCAAAACATGAGGGACCAAATGATAACACAGTGTGAAATATATCAGAGTGTTGGTGACTCAAATGAAGGCTTTCAATCTAAATCAGTGTTTGTACAACACATTGATGTAGATGAGATGAGGCTTCCTGAAGAGTTTAATTCTCTAGAGGAATCTAGAAAGATTGTTTATGACAATCTGGATAATATAAAGAGGAAGGAAGCTGCCAACTTCGCTCTTTTGGAGGAAAGGCGATTTCAAGTGAGAGCTAAGCAGCAGTTAGGCCAAAAGTTACGAGAGGAGCAGGAGAGGGAGAAGAAAGCCATTTTGAAAAAGTCTCTGACACATTGGATGAACAAATTCAATATGTATATAGAAGAAGAAGGAAATAGTTGAAATTGAAAAGCAACAAATGGCTGCCATAATGGAGTCAGATAGACTGCATCAAATAGAGGAAATTGAGATGAAGAGACAGAAAAAAAGGAAAGACCGGAAATTTTTTTCAAGGCAGGATGAGACTGAGCCAAACATGGAAGACCAAAAGAAGACTGTGGATGATAATTTAGAGGATATATTGAAGAAAGAAGCTGCCTATGACTCTCTTTTACAAAAAAAGCTATGTAACAATATGGCCAAGGAGGAGGTTGCCAAAATGCTACGTGAAGCACATCATCAGGAGATGAAAACTCCAAAGCAAAAGCCTCTGGCTGATGAACTGGCTGCCCGATATCAATATAAACAGAAACAGAAGAGGGAAACGGACAGGACTGAAAGGCAAGGGGTGCTTCCCGGATATCGAGCTGAGGAAATAGGAGCGAGGAGACAGAAGAAGGATCCCCAGCAGAAACTGAAGACACAGAACAAGACTAAAAAATATATGGACAACCCAGATGCAATGCAGTGGGAAATGCATCACAGTGTTACTGAGCAAGGAAGAGATGTTCAGTATGAATCTGGCTTTCTAGACCATGAGAGTGACTGCGGCATTCCTGATAAGGACAGAAGTCGTGAAATACGTAAAAAAATAGTGTACGACCAACTGTCACTTATAAAGAAGGAAGAAGCTAAAAAAAGGGCTTTTATGGAGGATAAGTTATTGAAAGAAAAGAGACATCGGGAATCTGCAGAACAAAAGCGTGAAAAACTAGAGAAAGAGAAAAAAGCCGCAGCTATCAAGTCTCTGACTAATTCTTGGGATTCCCAGATACAACGTAAACGGCAGGAGAAAAAGGAACTTTGTGAGATTGAAAGGAAAGACATGACTTCATTAATTGAATTGGAAAGAGCGTGTGGAGGTGCAAATTGGAAAAGTATCAACGTTCCGCAAAACAAACAGCCTGCTGACAAACATAATGACGTAAAAACCAGCAATATTTCCAGACCTTTACTGAGTCGTCAGAAAGTTACCAATACCAAGCCTGTCAAACTTCCCTCACTGAAATCGAAATATGTGCACTTTTCTGAGAATTGCCAAGAGAACTGTAAAAGGGTAAAATTCCCATTAATTTACACTCCCAAATTGATTAGTGGGGGCTGAGTTCCATGTCGCCATTGCTGAAATAGGTTTTCTCTGGGTGCTCCAGTTTCCCTACAAAAACGACAGACCTCCAGTATTCCTACATAAACGACAGACCTCGAGTTTTCCTACAAAAACGACCGACAGACAGACAATAGGTTTTCTCTGGGTGCTCCAGTTTCCCTACAAAAACGACAGACAGACAGACAGACAATAGGTTTTCTCTGGGTGCTCCAGTTTTCCTACAAAAACGACAGACAGACAGACAGACAATAGGTTTTCTCTGGGTGCTCCAGTTTTCCTACAAAAACGACAGACAGACAGACAGACAATAGGTTTTCTCTGGGTGCTCCAGTTTTCCTACAAAAACGACAGACAGACAGACAGACAATAGG